GTATTACTACCGAAGTTAGGACGCGCCCAGGTCGGGACGCGCTACCTGAAATCACCAGAGAGAGGTGGTTGTATAAAAACAATATTAATTGTGCCGCAAAAACCTTGTAGACTAAAGAATTTAAAAACATCCCCTCTCATTCTGTACCTAACTCTAATAAAAACTCCCACAAAAAGAATTTTTTCCGTTTGTTTTTACCAAAACATACTCTCTAAAAGCTCATAATGACGACAGTAAAAAAAATGACCGCATCTCCACGTGGTGAATGATGTTGATTGGGGCGAAGCTCTGGCAAGCCGCAGCATGCCGAGCTTTTCGTTCGTTTCCATCCATGTTAGAAAGAAAATGTATAGTATGGAACGTGGTTATATACGCATTTGAGCATTTTACCGCAGCGCCCTCTCGTCTATAAACGTTGAGCCAATGCATGCAAAGTTTATCGCGATTATATACGCATTTGACCGCAGCGCCTTCTCCTGTATAGACGTTGAGCGGCTACATGCAACGTTTCATCCATGACATCCCCAGCTCTTGAGTTACTACCACATCTCAGAGCCCCCTACTCGTCCCGCAGTCGTGGCCGAGTGGTTAAGGCGATGGACTAGAAATCCATTGGGGTCTCCCCGCACAGGTTCGAATCCTGTCAACTGCGCAAACATTTCTGTTTAGGGGCGAAGCTCCTTAGGGGCTAGCCATGTCCGTATGTCCGCCCGATGTCCGGCGTCGGGGGCTCGTGCTCCTGCTCATGAGCTCACGTGCTCACGAGCACGTGAGCACGTGCTCCCATACTCGTGTAGGGCGAAAAATTACACCATCTTCCCGAGGGGAACCATGGGGTGATGCGGAGTATCGCGGATCGTTATTAACGGTGTTAGTAACGTTGTTGAACTTCACGGTCCCGAACCTCAGGTTCTGCTGCTCGACGTTCACGAACCAACGCGGCTTCCCGTTCTCGAAGGTCGGGTTCCGCCACTCGCTTCGTACGTTTACGTTGAACTTCCCCGTCCCGAACCTCAGGTTCTGCTGCTCGACGTTCTCGAACCGCCGCTGCTTCACGTTGTCGTAGTTCAGCATCCGCCGCTCGACGTTGACGAATGGACGTCGCTTCTCGTTGCCGTACTTCAGGGTCTGCCGCTCGCTTCAAGCGTTTGCAGCGCGCTACCACTGCTTATATTCACACTTGAAGGAGAGGAGATTAGAGGAGGAGAGTTGCGCATGCGCGCGCGGTGTGAGTAGAAGCGAACGCACGCGAAGTGCACGCAGCTGGTGGAGAGAGAGAGCGGAAAGAGTAACGCGCAGACGTTGGAGAGAGGGAAGGAGGAGAGTTGCGCATGCGTAGTGTGAGTGCGGACAACGACGCCGCGGGACATAGACCCGAGCAAGAGATGCTCCGCATCTAAAAGAAAACCACCGCATCTCCACATAGTGAATGATGTTGATTGGGGCGAAGCTCTGGTGGTGCTTGTCTGCGTAGACGGTGAGCCGCAGCATGCCGAGCCTTTCGTTCGTTTTCATCCATGTCAGAAAGAGAATATGTGGTACGGAACGTGGTTATATACGCATTTGAGCATTTGACCGCAGCGTGACATGCAGTGCCGGATTAAGGCATTTGGGGGCCCTGGACTGAGGCTGTTAGGAGGCCTCTACCTATGATAATGGTGGTGGTGATGATGGTGGTGTTGGAGGTAACGATCATGACGGGAATATGTATATTTTTGAACTTGTTAAATCTCGGTATGTTTCATCGTGTGATTATTGTCGAGCCTTGTTTAGATCCGTAGATTTGATGGAATTCAAGTTTTCCTTGTTGGCATTGAGGCGGATGCGATTGTTTATAAGCTATTTCGCAAATAATCAACCTCTCTAGCAGTTTACAATATTGTAATTTTGAGGTACAAAAATGAAATCAAATAAACATTGCGGAAAATATTAGGTTTTGTCGTTCACATCCAGCAACTTAACCACAAAAACAACAACAAAAAACACTAAATTGCTTCCGTTTAAAATGTTGACTCCGTTCATGAATTTGTTTGACTAGAATTACAGCAAGATTCATCGAGTACACGCCCCGGGCCAGTTGAGACAAATTGGTCACGATTTCGACTTGTAGCACAGGTGACCCTCTTGCTAACATGTCTAGTGACATCATTAATCACACATGAATTGAGTTATGCAGCAACCGAAAAGGTACCTGCAAATTTCCCATTCTAATTTCGCTTCCACTAAATGGCATGCCTCGCAAATCGACAACTGCCACGAAAATCAAGAGCCCTTACTCTTGTAATTGTTGTTTTAACTTCTAACCAGCCCTCAGTTAATTAATTACTGGTGTGAACAGTGAAGGAAGTGACATAGGCAAGAAAGAAATTTCGTTGGCTGAAGCAGTCTTTATCGGGATAAAACTACTTCGTAAACGCTCTTTTAATAACTGAACCCTCGTTTCGCAAACAAACACAGACTTCCACATTTAAAGCATAGGAGAGACTGCGTGCGATTCTAAGACATCGACCGCTGTCGTTCGGGCACATTAGCATTTGAAGAATTTATCATGAGAATTGAGAAGATGTTTTCTTTTGGTATCTACACGCTGTCTTTTTGAATGGGGAAAATGTTTCGCATCAGATTTAGTACTAATCTTATTCTTTTTAAATGCAGTAATTTAAACTTCGGCGGCCGTTTTGTTCTGTGACTCAAGGTTAAAAAATAAGAGGTTATACCTCAAAGGTTGGTGAAACCATTGCAGTATTCGTATCAGTCGCTGGAAGGAAGAGTGTTCAGTTGCACTGCCAGACCAGATATGAACTCTACAGCACTTCCTTGCAGTCAGTACCCATCGAAAACTGTTGAGGGGCGTCTTAAGAGCCGGCTCCTTGAAACGCCTCTTTGTTGGTGGCTATAGAGACGGTGTCCGGAAGATTTACGGGCACCTTTTCGCTTGTTCCAAACTTATCGTGCTGGAATAAACTACATATGGAGTTTCGCGAAAAGGTTTATAACAACATGTGTGAACCATCTGCGTTGCTTGCTTAACGCTTGCTTAACTTCCTGCCACCAATTGTCCGTAAAACACGCTAAGGGGGCCCCAGTATAAAAGAAAGCTCCATAACCGTCCTTCCATCAAGATCCAATTAAAAAAAAAATCTAGCAAGGGGCATGGGAGGCCGCGTTAAATTTTGTTGTTCTGGTACGCTCTTGTACAACGAGCTCAAAAACGCCAGCTGATCTAGAGACGGGAACTTTATGGCATCCTTGCTTCCTTGCTGAGGAAAAGAGAACGAGAAGGCTATTGCGCCAGAGGCCCTTCGGAGTGTTTCTTCCGCTTTCGGCCTAAACTTTCACAAAAATTAAAAAAAAAAAAAAAGATTAACATTTTTAAATTTTGAGGGGCCAGTATGGGGCCCCTTGACAGCCTGGGGCCCAGGGCTGCAGCCCCCTTAGCTTGTACCTTAATCAGGCCCTGGTGACATGAATGAAAACGAACGAAAGGCTCGGCATGCTGCGGCTCAGCGTCTACGCAGACAAGCACCACCAGAGCTTCGCCCCAATCAACATCATTCACCACGTGGAGATGCGGTTGTTTTGTTGTTCTTTTTAGTTTTTTTTTTGCCCTACACGAGCACGTGAGCACGTGAGCTCACGAGCACGAGCACGAGCAAGATCGATGTGAGCACGGATGCCGGACGGACAAAGCTAAACCCTAAAAAGCTTCGCCCTTAAAAAAAAAAAAATTGAGCCGCCATTTTGGCACTTTGAGGCTGGGAGTTTACGTACTCTGGCGGCATTCAGTGACCAGCAGTCCCCATATAAAGCATACTTCATGTTTCGACTCGTCGCTAAAGGGTGGCGCTGTTATCGTATTTAGCTCGGTTTCGGTGGACGCCAGTCAACGCCAGTGACCCAGGTTGTAAGGACAAATTTCCCAACTGAGTGTTTTAGTAACGCTGGTTTCCGGTTAGGAAGAACATGGCGGATTCGACACGACTTGCACTCTCGAGAAACGGTTTGGTACCTTGGCGTTCAAAAAACTACCCGCGTACAGCGTGTTTAAATCTGGATTGTCATGTGACATTACCCGCCTGAGTAACTCGGAAGATTTCGAACAGAGTGACGGTGGGCAAGTTAGGAAGAACATGGACGACCGCGCGCTAGGAGACGACAGGAGCGAGGGTAGGAAGGCGGGGTAGGAGGACTTGTCGCTACCTCACATAGCGTTATCTAGGGACGTTAGTAGGGAGTTGTAGTAGACCGTTTTTCTCCTCCGCTACGGTATCCGTAAAAAAAACGCCGCAGCTGCTCATGCGCGCCGCCAGCCTTGTCTGCATAGTTCAAGGTCTTGTGGCGGATTACGGAGCGCTATCCGCGTGCTTAGCGGGCGGCGGAAATGATCTACTACAATTCGCTAATGGCGCCTTGTCAAGGACACGCTTCCGCGTCGCGTTTCGCTGCAGCTGCGCCACCAGCAGCGCCAGGACTGCTTCTGTGACGTTTTTAATGAAACCATTTTATGCTTTCGGCGTATCTCGGTGTCCGATAAAGGGCTGTGGCTATCAAAAACCTCAGTTTCGCTGCAGGCTGGCGGAATTAGTTTTGTTCATAAAGAGAACATGTCCCGCTTTTCTTAATCTACAACATATATACCTTATTCGACTACCTTGAAATAAAACATCAGTCTCAACTTTCTTTCATTTCACACGGTCTCACAACTATATAGCTCTGTTATCGCTGCAACGTAACGTAGAAGGTGGAGTACGAAAATCACGGTACCCCTTAAAACGTGCGACGTTAACATGCAGCGAGCTCCTCGTCACCGATGAGGGACCCTACTCCAGAGAAGAGGTCTCATTCGTTGTATTCGGCCACCGCGTCCGTCTCCAGTGGCAGCATGGAACTTCTGGCGCTCCCTGCACATCGGGAGAGCGAGGTTTGCAACTGTCGCCGACAGTTCCGAGTGGTCGACTTCTACCAGCCCAGCGCCTCGCAGATTGAGCACTCCACGGGCCTGATGAACTTGTACAAGACTTACTGCTACGGTCAGGTTGAGGTTCCCGAAGAAGAGAGGTGAGTTGAGCTGCTTCCAAATGTGTCCTCTAGATTTTTTTTTTTGTCTGTATTGCAGATACCTCAATGTCTTTCTTGGGTTGGTGGTACTCGTTGTGTACTCGATGATGACAGCACCTGATGACTGGTAAAATACAAAAAAAAGCACTACAGCTTTTCACGACAGTATGTGAAGGTGTAACAGCCAGAACTGTTATTGCGCGTAGCAACACCCACCTTTACGCATGTCCGTTTTTTAGATACTCGATCACACGGAACACAACCTTGGGGTCACTGAAGTATGCAGGAAAAAAAAACTGCACACATGCGTCAACATCTCCGCCTAAACGCCGGTTTACACGGCACCGTTTCCTGCATTGCATTATGTTACGAACGCTTACGTCGGCTTGCGTCGGGAGTCACCGAGACATTTTTGATTCGAATCAAGCGTGGCAACCAGTTCAAGGAGTAGTCTGAGACACGACATTCGAGGCATCGGCGTTGCGAAGACCTATACGTAACGTAATAACATGTAAGAAACTTTCTGTGTGAGCGGCAGTCTTAAAGTGTAAATACGGTACATTTTCTAGATTTTAGGGTTACGAATGGTTTTAATGAAGAAAGTGTCCCTGAAGTGCGAGGTGTAATTTCTTTAAAATGTCTTGTGTATAGTTTTCTAAATATCCTATCTTTAAAGTTTTGTTTCGGGGGCCTGCGGCGAAACGGAAACTATCGGCTCGAGCGTGATGGCAACGCCTGTGATCAGCTGCATGACCATTGTGTGCGCAAAGTTCCTACCGCGGTGTCGCAAAACGTACGACTGCCCTAGTCGCAAGAACAGCTCCGATCAGTCAAGTAAGATACTGATTTCCTTCGTACATTTCAAACATCTGCAGCAAATATTAATACACATTCATAAAGTTTCCAGCCGGATCGTTCTGGAAAGTAGCGCGCGCCCTCAAGCGGCGCGCGTGAGGCTCTATGGGAATAGTGAGGGTCGCTGCTCTGTCGTCTGCTACTACAGCCGTACCGCCTGTGAGAAACACGTTGCCCATGTTCGCGTTGGGCCCACATATGTACGGCAGACGGCAATCTTTGCAGCGCCCCGTGCTGCGCTGCGTTGTCCACATAAGGTGAGAAACCCTTAACCACAGCATGTCTGTCTGTCCACTTACCTTTCCTGGATTGGTCATTGTTCTAGACAGGCCACCGTTCTTTTCTTTGTTTTTTTTAATGGGCCGTCGCGCGTAGGCCACGTGCCAAAAGAGCGAGGTTTCACTCACGCATCCAACCCTCGCCAATAAAAAAAAAAGCGCAGTTTGTTTTCACAAATGTTCCCAGGACGTTATTTCGACTGAATGCATGAATGGATTAAGAATGCTCTTGCATTTCGGGCGGTAGCGTGCGCCACCTAGCATGCAAAAGTTCTACTAGGCTAGTCTTGGCTTTGCTAAAAGGACGCAACGCCCCTCACAGTTTTCATAATGCCCCGGAGCGCTCACTCGTGGCACTGGTGTCTGCAGAAAGGTCCATTCAGCGCAGGAGTGAGTGTGAAAACGTATTTATTAAAGGAATGGGATACATCACGATTTCTTGATAAAGTCATCCAATCGTGACGGGGGAAGGGGATTGTGAGCTCAGGCTCAGGACAAGTCCCCACTTATCTTCAGAGACGAGCTACAATCTTGGTGGTGTGCAATGCACGTCGCAGGAACGTTGTGAATGTTAATCATAAGCTCGCGTTGAGAAAGAACAGACCAAACTATGGCCAACTCGGAATGCCACCTTCGCCACCCCAACACGCTTGAGCCCCCTCCCCCCCCCCCCCCCCCCCCCCCCTTCCCTCGAGCAGGGAGTCAATTACCTTCCTACGCGATGGCTGAGGAGCACTTGCAAACTACGGCCGCTAAAACACAACAAAACGAGCAGAAATCGCCCGCTGGGAAATTTGAAAACGCAGCAGAGAAACACGATAAGAGAAGTGCCAGTACTAACATGTAACCTCCTTGAGTGCAAAGATGGCATCGGGGCCCAAGGTTGCTTGACAAACAGCCAACCCGCTGAACGCCCCTTGAGAAGCTTGAGGTAGCATTTTCATATCGGTTTTAGATCGCGGTTTCCCCTTAGTGCATTATTTGGCAGTGTTCGTATATAGTCTCCATAAATCGATATCAGTCATTTATTTTGGTTCGACTTTTAACCGGAGTTGCCCTTTATATTTATTTATTTATTTATTTACATTACGTTACGAGTCAACGGTACCCTCATGCTTCGAATGCGGCGTGTGAAGTTACTGCTTGAATTTTATTTTCCACGAATCATACGAAGCACGGATGTCCAGGAAATTTTCGATTTAAGCAGGCGTAAGTAAGGCCTTGAAACATAACGCAACCTAAGAAAACCGTACTGGCGACGTGCGCCATCGAAAGCGTCGCTGCAGTCGGCCTTCCCCGATTGGCCGGAGGCTGACTATGACGTCAGCAAAGGATCTCTCATCGACGGAAATAGGAGGAATGTAAGAACTTCAATTTTGACGGTGTTGGCAGTGTTGGTTTCAGAGCGCTATCATGCTCTTTACAAACACCATAGAACTTGTTCGCAAGGTAATGACGTCACGAGAGGGGGCCATACGACGGCGCCACCGAAAAATCTCGCCGCTATAATAGCGCGGGTTCTAAAATCTAACACGTTTTCAGGTTCCTGCGACTGAAGCGAGAACTCTTCGATACAATCAAGCTTCCAGTAATGTGGCAGACGTGAGTTACCAACACTAAGTCAAGTACGAACAGCGACCGCTTTTAGGCTAGACGCCCGTCGAGTTCCCGCAAAATGTCACATTCCCGTTGGAATTCCTGGACGTAAGGGTGGAAGAGATTATATCGATTCCGATGTGACCAATCGCCAAAAGTCTCCCACCTGTAAAACCCTACATCGATTATTCTTGAAGGATTTCCTAGGACAACTAAGCAGTTCTTTCTTGCGAGTTGTGAATGCGAAAGCATGAATATCGTTCTTTGCGCCGCGGCCGCTTCTGATACTCTTGGCGCCTCGGCTGTTTCTGCTCCTCTCGGCGGGGGCCGCAGCGCCATGGAGTGTAGGGTGGCGTTCCTTGGAACCACGCCGAGCGCGCTGCCAATAGGAGTTATCCATCAACTTGCTGCTAAAAACTACGGGCTTCGCTACAGGAGAATTTAGGTGCCGTTTGGCGCGGCTTCAAAAGCTGATAACGTCGGTTCGCTCCGCGGGACAGTTAATGCATTAAAATACCGTATCACAGTTGAACAAAAATAGAACACCAGCTATACTCTGTTTTACCTTACGATGGACCGCAAAGGCTGCTACGAGTCATCTAGGCCAATATAATGCTGGGTGAGTGTCACGTGACCTTTGAAATAAAAAGGGTGGGGAGCAGCGACGCGAAGGGAGCATAGTCACGTGATAAGTCACGCGCTGGATTGGTTGGGACGGCTTATGCAGAGCGCAAGTTCTTCTGCTTCTTGCGCAGGAGTTGTGGGGACGTCAGATTGCCGATCTCTGATTGGCTCTAATTGGAAGGATAGCCGCCTTGAGGTCAACCCACTATCCTGCCAATCAGAGCCAATCAGAGCTCGGCTTACTGACGTCACCGCAGCCCCTAGCTGCGCGAGAAGCAGACGAACTTGCGCTCCAGGGTCCGCTGTGGTTCATCGTAAAGTGAAATGGAGTACCGCATTTTCCGGGGCTGTGGTGCGCAGGTTATATATGTTTAAAGCCAGGGTCACGCTTCTCATGCATCATACAAAAAGACGGTCTGCAAACACGAATCACTGCAATTTCCGTGGTTCGAATGCCGCGTGCGAAGCGGCATTTGAATCACGGATATTGTGGTGACTCCCGTTCGAATCTGTTTGCAGACAGTCTTTTTCGCGGTCCACAGTTTAGGAGTTAAAATTGTACGCGGTGCGGACAATCAACAGGTGCGGATACAAGGATTTTTTTTTTTATCGCTTGTTATGACGAGGCGTGGTAGAGTTCGCGAATGACAGAGAATAGTAATGATGATATTGTATGATACAAGCTTCTTTGTGAGCTAATTAAACAGGCACTTGTCAAGGTGTGTTGTGTATAAGAGTATTTTATATTCGAACTAGGCAACAGGTAAAGACGTTGCCCCCCCCCCCCCCCCCCCCCCGGAATATTTATCGAGCACGGAGTATGACTCAAAAAATACGGTTAAACGAGCATAAAATCGACCGGGCCTATCCTCCTGAATTGTCTAAACGCCAGACGCGCCGAAGTCGCACGCTCACATTGGCAGCACGTGCGTGAAAGGTCGGTTGTACGGTTTAAAATTCAAGTATTTTATATTACGGCTTGTCGAAGTTTTTGTCGCGAGGAATATTGGTGAGGAAGGGAATGTGACGCAAAGTGGATGACGCCAAAAATTGCACCAACGATCTTCAACGGCAAGCAATGCAAATCGACAGTCGGTGATTTTCAGCCCAGACACTGCCGGACTTCAGGCTGTAACCTTCCCGAAGCTCTTCAAGGCCCCAGCTTCGGACAGCTTGCACCTTATCGTCATGGTAAACGGTCTGTACGGTGAGTCTATGGTTCGATGATGCATAGAACCAGTGAGCAAACCTAAAAGGGCATCGTCACGCGCTCGTTGTCTTTGTGGGCCGGCAATCATCGGTTACACCATGCAGGCACTGAAAACAAAAAGCACAGTATAGCGGCGCATTTACTGTGCGTGATTGATTCCGTCAGTGATATAGAAAGCGCACAAAGGCGATTAACGCCGTGACGATGTCCCTTTTGGCGCATCTTGATTGACAACATTTTCACCGCACCGTTTCTTTTATTTTGTTTCCTTTTTTTTATTATTATTAGTTCAGAAATTTGAACACAACTAACAACTCGGGTGACACAGCGCCGCCTACTCCGCATTTTCAACAGATCATGGTTTCGGGGATTAACTGGCTATTTCGATAATCGCCTTCTGCGCTGCCATCTTTGATTCCTGGGCTGTGGAACGCGTTCTGAGCATGCGCAGTCGCTTTCGTCAGCAAAAGATTAGACGCTACGCACGCGTCCGCCGAAGCCAGATGACTGGTCATTTTTTTTTGCCTGGGTGATAAGTGCTGTAAAGGTGTATAGACGTTTCAAAGTACGGCCTCTGGGCGCCACCATCTTGCTACTGGCGTCTGTAAGACGCAACGAGATAGAGAGAGAACGATAAAACAGGGCCCCGGTCTGTACTCGTGACCCACACAAGGCCGCTGCCATTGTACGAAAATGAGACCACTCGTCACGTGACCAAGCCAAATACGTGACGTCACAGGAAAGATGGCAGCGCCCAGGCAGCGGCTGGCCCCAGCTGGGCCAAAGCATTTGCCGGAGCTTGTCGGATGTTTTGTTCGTTGTCGTTCGTATCAGCGAGTTGATTACAGATGAGGAAGCCGTCATATTAGGCCGGTCGAAAGCGACTTTAGAGTTCAGCGTGGTGTCTCACGCACATATAGCGTTAAAATGCAAAAAAAAAAAAAAAACGGTGTGCATTTCGCAGGTGATCGACAGGGATATTGCCACGAAATAGACAATCGGCCCTGCGTTGCTCGGACCTCAGATTGATTTGGATATCTCTATAGGATAAATTTTAAGGTGGCTTTTCTGTGCCCTCGTTGACCATTGGCATCTTCAAAATCTCCAGTGAAGCGTGTGCAATGTGTTTGGATACACAGTTTTGATATGGAAATTGCGTGAGTCGGGCTTGGCAGTGTGCAATCGTGGTGCCACTTCGTTCAAACAACCGGAGATTCACTTTGGTTGTGCGGCGCACCGAAGAGCTGCCTTGAAGCTGGTAGTTCCTGTACCGTGCTAAATGATGGTGTGCTGCTTTCTGAATTGTTCCAGCGTAAATGTGCACTTTCACGGAGCACAGGTGTGCGGCGCACCGGAGAGCTGCCTTCAGGGTGGTAGTTCCTGTGCCGTGCTTTAGGTGATGCTGTGCTGCATCCTAAATTGTTCTGGCGTAGACGTGCATTTTCACAGAGCGCATGTGTTGCAGTTGTTATGGATTCCGCTGATATGTCGCACGTTTCGTCGATACAAACGTTTCATCAACACCCCTTATACGAATTGCAAGCTGTATGGACATATCATCGTCAGTCTGCAGCGGCTCATTACCAGAAAAGTGCTCCCACATCCATTTTATTTCAGCTTGTCCACGGTAGTCGCCAAACCCTGAAGGAGAGGATTTATTCAGACAGAATGACAATAAAGCAGTGCAGCTTCTTTATTGGTCAGGATACACTTCCTTCTGTCAGTTTTGTTATATTGTCACGGATGCTTGCTCTAGAGCTATCTTCTACAAATATTTACTATTCTGGAAAATCTCAGGCCATGCTCGACTGTCATTGTATGTTCTGGCGGAGGTACTTTACCCACAGCCCTTCACTCTGTGCGCAACCTGGCGGCTCCTCAGCCGACTTGCCCTATAACGGGACATGGGTGGCGGACTATTCCGCGTCTTAAACCCCCGGCGAGCCGTGAACCAAATCCTGTCCCGAGCCCGGCAGACAACCTGCAAGGCGAGCGAGTACCGCAAGAACGCACCTCGAAAATACACAAAGAAGTACCTGAAATCCGAGCCAGTCGCTGCTACAGAAAGAACCACCAGAATTCGGTTTCCTGCTCCAAAAACCGAAGCTGGCCAAGCCAACAATGACAAACCTGTAGCAGCAAACCGCGCCCGCTCCTGTCATTGTTTGCATACCCGTCACACTTCACACTCCGACTCCCTTTCACACAAGGTGTATGAAGACGTCGAGGACTGGATTGAACAATATGTACGTGTCGCCCGCCACAGTGGGTAGATGGACAACCAGCTCCTGCAGAACCTGTACTTCTCGTGGACGAAACTGCGAGGCACTGGTTTGAGAACCACGAATCCTCCTTAACGGTGTGGGAAGGGAAATATGAAAGATCGAGCTAAAGCGCACGTTCGCCAGCCAACATCGACGAGAGAGAGCCGAATTCCTGATTCTGACCAGGACACAGCCCCAACGAGAGCGTCACCGCCTTCGTGGAGGATGTTTTGCGCCTGATCGAGCACCCACACCGACCCTGATGCTACAGAAGACAAGAAGCTAAGAATCCCATGTCCCTCATCTGAAGGACAACACCTTTGGCAGCCTTGTCCGCAACCCCCGACAACAGTCGAAGGGTACATATTTCTCAAGCTTCCAAAATTGAACATGAACTGCATGCCAGAGCCTGTCACTATCAATAACTCCCCGGCGTTTCGACACTCGAGTCCTCCAGCTGCAACTTCGACGCGAGCCCCCCAGGCATCCGTGACATCATCCACGACGTTGTCTGGGAGGAGATCAGGAAGCTACTTCCTGCCATCAGTAACCCGGCTTTTATTTTGATATCCGAGATTGTTCCGAAACGAATTCGACAGGAATTTCAACCGAAGACTTCTGCGAGCGAGGCGGCATCTGACGAACCGAGGGCGACTTACGCCACAATGGCAGGACGACCGCCACCGGATACCCGTTAGTATTCAATGCAAATTCAACGAGACACCCCGACGCCGAAGCATTCCCGACATCGGGAAGAGCCAGAGTAAGTCCACGCTGAACAAAGTACACCGAGGAAAATGGAGGTGTTGCGAATGGCCAACCGAAAACCACTCTGCTACCACTGCATGAGGCTGACCATGTCTACCGCAGGTGCCCGTACCAATGAATTGGCCTGCGAGGGTTCGTGCCGAACGGCCATTGACCACGTCTCGAGGAGCGACCGCGGGACATTGAGGATTATCTTCGGCGGCCTTTTGTCCCTGGTGCCGGCATTACCCCAAAACCTCTGATCCCCATCACCTCGACGGGAGGTAAACACGACAAAGCAGATGAGCGGCAATACAGTGACAGTTGATTTGGTGTCGGTTGTCATCCAAGAACAAGGCCTAATATTTTGCTGACACCAATTATCTGTGTCCACTTCACGAAGCACGCAGTTTCCAACTTAGAGAGAGAATGGCCGCTGAGTGACTTAAAGAAATAGAATGGTTGGTTGTTCCCAGAAGTGGACACCGAGCATCACCCGACTTGACTCTGCCACACGAGACTTTCACGAGTTGCACTGGCCGCGGGATGCAAAAGGAATCGCCATTACGGAACGGAGGTGAAATGGCTTGGATAGCAAACAAACGTTGTTGCCAGCCATCAAGTCAACGACACAGCAAATGCCTCAGCCACGTAAGCAGTACATGCCCGAGCTTGCTGCACCTAACGCAGAAAACTACCAGAAAAATTTGCGGATTAGAAGCCAGCCCTGCAGCTTCAGTGCATCAGATGTCAGTGGCGGCACATGACGTACAAGACAGCATCAGTCAGTCAAAGTTACCACTCGACCAAACTGAACACTGACCTGCCAGGAGCGTTATCCGACAACAAGGAGCACAGGTACTACGACTGAACGCCTGACACGAGACGGACGCAAAAAGAACTCGTTATGGAACCATATGCTAAGAATCCATAATTATGTTATCAATTGGAAATAAACATTTGATACGCTAACCAAAAAAACATATTTCCGCTCGCCTTTACGCCTTCAGAGTATACACCAAGAAATGTTTTCACTGCACGCGCTGGACGTTTTGAGGACACTCGCATCTCTGACCCCTCAATATTAATTGATGGGACGTAACATACTGGCAGACTTGTTGCATGCGGCTGCACTCGTCCCACCTCTACTGAACATGCGGTGCATCCGACAACCAACTCCACTGATGTGAAAATGTTATTTATTAACTTATTCTCTCTAATGGCCTTTGTAGGCATTGCAGATAGGATACTTAAAAGTACACACGATAATAGCATCATAGCACACTGACATTAATGAGCACAAATCGGGCCCAGCTACCGAAAATAAATATTACACTCGTAAGAAATAATTATTGCTGTAGCCATTATTGCTGTAGCCGTAAGAAATAATTATTGCTGTACAAACACACTTTTCAGCATTTAGTATAATAGTATGTGTTGATGCATTGTTATATAGCAGGACATTTTCTATACGTATGACACAATAGACCCTTTGCAAAACACGATCAAGCAACATGACTGTCACCATTTTTGTTCGGCGTAAAGCACACAATTGGGCCCCAGTTCACGTCGAACGCTTTTATTTATTTATTTATTTATCAATACTACCAGCCCAATATAGGGCCAAGGCAGGAGTGGGGTGATACAGTGTCACACATGCACATTATAAACACAACAGTTCTAAACAAAAAGCAATCTTAGCACCGAAAATTAATATCTACGACATATTCGAAAGAAGAGAAACAATACAGTAACCAAATGTAATACTAGTAATAACAATAACAGTATAGCAGTAAATGTAACAGCAGTAATAAAAAATAAAGACAGTAAAATAATTTCATAAGAGCAATAAAAGCAATCTTGGCACTGAAAAATATTATCTACGGCTTTTTCGAAAGAACAGAGTGAATCAATATCGACAACATCCCCGGGAAGGCTGTTCCACAAATCAATTGTATGCACAAAAAAAGATTGTTTATAGCTATTTATTCGAGCTTTAATAGGGGCTACGGTCTTTGTGTGATGCAAGCGTTCCGAGTAAAAACTTTTTGGTTTTAAGTAAACGGAGCCATCAATTTTTATACAGTTCTTGAAAATCTGGAAGAACAGCTTCAACCGTTGGCTCTCTCTTCTGTTTGACAGAGGGCTTATATTGGCTCTCCTTTTAAGTTCGGTCACAGACGTAGTTCGTCTGAAATCTGAAAAAACTATACGCACAGCTAGCGACTGAATATCTTCGAGTTCTCTGACCAGAGAGCTCTGCCATGGGCTCCACACTGCAGACGCGTATTCTAACACAGGTCTAATAATTGTCTTATACGCTTATGCAGCATTTGAGTCCAATAGGCGCTGAGTCGAGTTCACATTGATTGCTGACATAACATTCTTGTCGAACAGATGCCCAAAGTATGAGGGCCTTGGGTAATTAGAGTAGTACCTACTGTGATTCGTTTCATCAGAATTTGGCAAACGGCGAAGGCTACAGTCTCAGTGAACCAATATGCCTGTTGGAGAGACGCACATGGCAACATATCATCAGAGAGCTCATCTCCACAGATTTGTCACATACCATCACTCCGTCTCCCTGCTTGGCTGGAGGGCGTTGTGGCGGTTGCCCTTTTCTCATTTATGGTGAAACAAAATATAGGCAGCCCAAACTTTTGAAAAAAAGTCTATTGAAGAGACTGAAAAGAATGGTAGTCCAGATTTTTCAACAAGACTGCTCTTCGGGCAAGGTATGAACACAAATATGAGTCATCTTGTCCAGGTAATTAGAACAAGTAAATGATTGACCTACTAATAGAATGCACTCTTGATGATAAACATTACCCTGCCAAAACTCCTACGAAAGTGAAAAATGTGCAGTTAGTCTTCTATTTCCAAGTTGCATTACATTGAACGAATCAATGATATGTGTGGTTTAATTTCTGGACCTCCAAAGAGTGGGGCTGCATTTTTTTTTAAAGATTCTGTGTGTTAGAATGATGAATTAGACAACCATCTAAGAGGAGTCTGATCATGCAGATGGTGGTTACTGTGAACTATTGATACCGATTGCCACGGTAAAGAGCCTACTAATACTAATTTTTAAGGGACACGGGATGCAACATTTGGTGCACTAATAATGAAAAAATGTGAAGACTTGCGTTGTTCTCAGTTCCAAGAGGACAAATAAACTGTTTCATAAACATAAGTAATTAGCATTTTTTTCCGAATGATTGGTTCGAATGCTTTGTAAGAGTTCGCGTGCACGTCATTTAAGCAAACGCCAGCTTTTCACCTCAAAAAAGTATTGCGATCAAATGTAGAATCCTCAATTGGCACAAAAGGTTAAAGATCGCAGGAGCTTCCTCGCTAAAAGTTGCTCTGGTTATTCGGTGACGCAGGGCTGAAACAACTTCCCCTAGGTCCTAATGCAACGTATACCTTTCGCTTCAATACTCAGAGATTCCAACCGTCAAACGAAGCTAGAAAAATGAGAATATTTTACGCTAAAAGTTATATCGCAAAAATAGTGGATTAGTACGTACAAAACGTAAAGATCGCAGGAGCTTTCTCTCTAAAAGTTGCTGTGATTATGCGGTTACCTAAAGCTGAAACAAACTCTCCTAGGCCCTAAGTCCGACGCATACATTTCGCGCCGATTTGCAGACATTCCAACGTTCAGACAAAACTAAGGGAATCCGAAAATTTCAAGCTAAAAGCACTCAAAGTTCCATCGATCCTCGAACACATTTGGGAATCCGAGCACCGGTACGGCGATACGGCTGATGCTGTCTCACATGTGTTTATATTTAGATGATCAAGAGGGATCTTGCGCAAAAAGAATATAAAATGTAATTCCTTCATACATTCACATTATACCTTCGTCAGCGAGCTCGAAGAAGCCCGAAATCGTCGGACAGCAGCGGAACATCACGGCTACAGCGCACCGAACAAACTCGCATCCGCCAGCTCTGGGCGCTGCCATCTTACCGGTGACGTCACGGCTCTTGTGAGGTCACGTGACGAGTGGTCACTTTGGCGTACAACATGGCGGCAACCGGGGGGGGGGGGGGGGGGGAGTCAGCCACTTTCGAACTTCCGGTTTATTACTCTAAGCCCCTCTACCTCGTTGATAAGACGTCTGATAGAAGCTGCATTCGATTTACCTGCACCCTCTGCACCGGTGCAGAAGATGCAGGTGAATCAAACGTAGCTAGAGAAGCCTTGCTGTCCATGGCTGCCAAACTATAACAACAAAACTTTTTTTATCCACAGTGGCTAGACGAGCTTTTGGAAAGTGGCTGCTGGCCAACGTCTATAGTAACAAGTGGTTGCGTAACTCCGTAAATATAAGACTACGGGTCTTAGACAATAAGAAGCGCAGTCCTTGTGTCACCGGCAACACGTACGCCATAAAGTCAGTTCAGCGTTAAGATCTGATCCCCGAACCAGTCCAATCAATACGTGGAACGTAAACTATGGCCAGAGCAAGAGACGCCAATTTGTCTGGAGCACGGCACAAAGGCGTATCGCTTCCATCTCCAGACAAACACGTCGGCGATACCAGCTATATTTGATGTATAGGGAGCAAAGGAGACACGTCCCAAAAGCATTTCTTCCAAGCTTGCAACCGAGTCAACGTCCGATCGAGCTATATAAGAATGGCGTTGTTTCCGCTTGGATCAATCTCGCGAAGCAATTGATTCGGGCAGACATTTCGCCATTATTGAACCAACATAATGCCGCCGTTTGGTGAGGAGAACAACAGTTTCTTTGTTTTCTTTAGGATAAGCCTGACGTCACTCCATCGCAGCCGTAATATAGGGATCGTTCATTGTCGTTTTCTGAGGGTGGACTCATCCAAAGCACTAATACCGAAAAAAAAATCTGAAGCAAAAAGAAAAAAACGGTATTGCACTCGTTTTGTGTCATCAAAGGCCACGCAGATAATCTACTATACCGAGCACGGGACACAATGTGTACTTAGCGAATAAGAAGATATCTGTAGCAAGCTCCTATTGGGCTTATTCTTGCCAACGTGCCCAAGGGTGTCTCAAGATGATGTCTACTTTTCCCTGGGTAAACATACCAGGTGAACTCCAACGATGCACATGTTATTTGAATTATTTCCTAGCTTTACTCATGATCAAACCTCTGTAGGCACTATTCGGCCAAAAAATGAGAAGCTGTCCAAGGAGGCCATCCTCATGATTCGCCTTTCCAAATCGAAATCTTGGGTTGCGTGGTGGGCAGTTTACATAATACTCGAGTGAAGGCTTGGGTCTTGCTTGGAGATGTCAAAACTCCGTTTCTGCTTAACCAATAAGAGGCCACGAGTGGTGTGACAAAATCTAGGTGCAAATTGCAGGATATGAAGATTGTTCACATTCCCGTCCTTTGGATAACAACGACCTAGCAAAGTAACGTCTTTTTATACTTCTTTTTTTTTTGTGAAACGATTCGCAGGATGCTCGACTGACCTGAGACTCTTCCGCACGTTCCTGGAGCTTTCCCAGCCTTGCGCCAATCTTCGCTTCCTCATGTCCAGAGTAAACGAGGTGAACATAATTTCATAGCCAAAGAATTCCTTACGCTGTTGCACCCAGTACAACTCTTTTCATAATCTCTATTAAAGGGATTGTCCGGTGAAAACCGAAAGTTCTTAAGATCTTGTGATGGTAACGTGGCGGGAGCTTAATGATTAACATAGGTCATTTTTATTCCATTAAACGACACCCAACTTTAGTGTAAATAATGACGGATAATTATACGAAACGCCATGCCAAATTTTGCAATGGTCAATGACTGCGCTTCCCGGCCTGCATCTGATGTCACACCAGGCTCGCAATTGTCACATCCGATGCCTCACTCCTCCCCGGAAAAACAGTGCTCCCAAAGCACCGCAGCGTTCCATTTGAAATTACTCGGTTAGGGAATCACACGAAATTCAGATTTGTCGTGGAAGATACTCCTACAGCCATTGCCAATGAGGTATAAATGTTTTCTTGAATACAAAATTTGACCATACAATCCCTTTAAGATAATTTTTTCCTTGGAAGTACTGTGCAGTAGAGATGTCGAGAATCTGCCAATGGTTCGAGTTCGACCAAGTTCGACCTTTTTGAAGTTTTCTCGTGAAGCTTGTCTGTCTGTTGTGTACGTACGCGAGAAGTGACAATGAACCAATGCCACCTAAGGAGATTCATATTAAAAATAGCGCAAAAGAGACGGGACAAAAACTTTTGCGCTATTTTTAATATGAATGTCCATTACCAACTTGCCCAGCAGACCAAGCTTTTACAACACCTAAGGAGGAGGGGTATAATATTTATCGGATGTAGCTTCGCATTAGCGAACTAACTAAATCATTGATATTTTTTGCCTTTATATTGTGTACAATGTAAAAGTACTGCATAAATATTTTTTTACATAATTTTAAATTTTTGTGTAGAATTTGGGGGACACTGTTAAAATGCTGTTGCCAGCTGTTGCCAGCCATACAAACTGCAGGCAGCAGTCGGATTTCTGTTGAAAGTTCATTTCGCAAAGCCAACGAGATAAGCGCGTTAGGACCGAAACCTCTCAATAAAAACGTCAAATTATATACCTATTCCTACAGCTGAAAAGGCTGGCCCGGAATTAATTGAATTATAGGTTCCACGAGCTTTCCATGTCAAGCACCGTATATGTAAATCACTTGAGCAAGGCTGCCCACATTTGTGTGTGTGCGTGCGTGCGTGTACAGTGGTGGGAAATAGGTACCCGTTAGGCGCGCAGTCTTAAAGGGACACTAAACTCCCTCCAGAAAATCTTTTTAGGTGCCTTAATACTCCAACTCCGCCCGAAAAAAATAGTGTAACATTGACGTCGCGAGACGGATTTTGGATATGAAGCTAATCCAAAATATGCTCACACTTCGAGGGGGTAACCCCAAAATGAAATATGGGGAAGTCTCCCAAACTCCCCAAAACATTTTGTCGAGTGCCTGGATGGGGAACGTATGTAAAAGAATACCCCCCCCCCCCCGGCCAAGAAAAAAAAAAAGAAAAACGCTCCGTGTTATTTTTTTTTTATATACTCCAAATATTCGGGTCTACCAATGTTTGGGCACGTTGTCAGAGCATGCATTGGACACGAATGCTGCTCCTGCGTTCGGCGTAGACTCGGGTCCAATCACGTGCTTCGTGCCCAAGAAATGGCGTCCACCATTGTTGCTTGATGGTGTTTTGAAAGGAGTCGATTACGTCTTTGAGACTCATCTTAAGTTAGACAAGAATCCGAAAAATACATATATTTCAAAACGTCGATCCCGAAATAAAAGAATATTTCGGAGTCATTCAAATAAGTCTCGTGATCTACTTTTTTTCTCAAGAAAGTTTGTTTTGTGGCATACGTGTCCTGTCCAGACGCATCAAAAAAGTATTTTTTTTTATTCCAGTGTTTGTGTGAAACGAATTAATAATAGTCATCTTTCCCAGCGCGAGGAGACATTCAATGACTTCGACACCCTCGGCATGAGGCTCGCCAGCGAAGTGGCGGACCACGTCCGTGTACACTCCAGAAAGCCATCCAGAATCAGGTATGCTCCACGCGACAAACAATAGAATGAGTGTCATCACTTGCATCAAGATGACATTTAATTAATTTATGTGTTTATTTATTTTAATACCTTCAAGGCCCAAAGGCGTCAAAGAAGGGAGTAAGGCTCCTTAAAGACCGGAGAAGCCGTCGTTTTATACACTGGCGAAATTCATCATACATAATGTAAGATAGGGTTTCTCGACATCACAGTGACGTTCCTTCTTACCATCTTAACCACATTTCTTTACGGCAGGCACCATCATACAAATACTTGGAGGTTCATATTTCATCTAACTTGACTTCGGAAATTCATATTCAATATACATAACAAGTAATGGCAATCGTATGTTAGGATTCATAAAAGGAAACTTTCCGTCCATCCCCCATGTCTCTAAGTCTACTTCTCTACAAAACTCTCGTTTGCTCCAAACTGGAATATGCCCCCTCCATTCAGGACCCCGGTACTGACATGCAGTTGAGGGAATTCAAAAAAGATATGTTCGCTTTATACTTACTAACTATCATCGCACTGCCAGCGTAACATCGATGAAATGTATAGTTCGAACAACCTCGCATCACGTAGAGAACTTTCTCATTCGTGTTTATTTTACAAAATCTATCATTATCCTCGTTTGCGTGAAAGTCTACCAATACCGCCCCTCTACATATCACCGCGTCTCGATCAGCAACACACGATAGGCTTACCATCGCGTAAAACTTCAACTTTTCACAATTCATTTAAGTACCGAACCCCTTCCAGCGTCGGTGGTAACTTCATTTTATGGCGTCGATTTTAAATCTGTCTTAACAATGTCAATTTTGTAATAACTTATTCGCATATAATTACTGCATTCTCATATATTTTTTTTGTTGTAGTTCTTGTATGTTCACCTGTAACCCACTCCCTACTGCAGTGCGCCCATGGCTTTGAGGGATTTGAAATAAATAAATAAATAAATACAGCTTTGACACCAGAGCCCAGACGCCCATTGTGGACGACTAACTGCCTGCTATTCGAACATATACAAATCAAATTTCTTGAGCCTGCGTGTTCCGTTTTGTTCTGGAGAACTTGAAGCGTATTTTAGGCCCACCTCACATAGTGACATAATACTTAGCAATGGCGCGGAACAATTATTTCAGCAACAGCGTGGCCACAGGATTGGTGTTGTCGGGAATTACTTCTACCAAGTATGGCTATAACGTAGTGATAATACATATCTATTTGAGTATACAAGACATGTCAGCGTTAGGTGGTTCGCGTTAGATGAGATCGCCAAACTCTGCGTGTCGTTCGAATCTTGTCCAGCGTGCCACTTCATTTCATCGGATGCATCGATACGCAGAACAAGTCGCAGTTAACGCGGGGCTCAACAACAACTACGAATACTTTGACGAAAATAATCCCTGGAGAAGGGGAACAAGAGGGACAAAGGACAAACATATGTCTGTCCTTTGTCCCGCTTGTTTCCCTTCTCCAGGAATTATTTTCGTTATTATTGTCCAGCTCGCTTGCACCTTGCATATTAATTGAATTATAATTATAACGAATACTTTATTTGATGTTTCCCTACCATATGAACGCGAATGATTGAAACCACGTTGTTCTCTTCACGAAACTGACTGTTTAATATCATATAAACAAATTGAAACGATCTTTTCTTAAATATTGTTTCATGCATCATAGGCGGGGTTACGTGTTTTCGAAGTAGAATTTTTTTTTTAATTCCGGGGTGAGTTTCGGTGTTTATTTCTGTTTTCCAAAATATTCGGTGCTTTTAGGTGTTCACTTTTGTCTTTCAACATATTCGGTGCTTTTCTTGCTCATTTTTGTTTTCAACGTATTCGGTATTTTTTAGTGTTCATTTTTGTTTCCCACCATACATATTCAGTACTTTTCCATGTTTATTTTTGTTTTCGAATATATTCGGTTTAACAATAATAATCTCTGGAGAAAGGGAAAAAGGGGGGCGGGAGGGCAAACTGCTGCGCGACTGAAAAAATCCACCTGGTCCTGTTATCGAACCAAAGGACCTCTCCATCCCAGAAGAACGCTCTACCAACTGAGCTAACCAGGAGTTAGACGTCAGTAGAGCAAATGGGTTTCAATAGGCGCCACCAGTCCAACACCAACAAGGGTGAACGGTCTGCATTTTAAGCTTACGATGATAATGCAATTAATGCAAAGGTGCAAGTAAACTGGACAAGAATGACGATAATAATCCCTGGAAAAGGGATTATTATCGTTATTCTTGTCCAGCTCACTTGCACCTTTGCATTAATTGCATTATCATCATATTGGGTGCTTTGCAGTGTTTATTTTTTATGCCGGACTAAAAATCGGGGATTATCTGGGTTTATGTTCAAGAAAATAGGACATGGGAGTAGGATTCCCCAAATTCCAGGGAACATAGGCATGAATCGAATACTTACAAAAAACGTCCCTGTACTGATAAACAAAAATGACAGGAGATAGGATTTGGTGTTCCGAAGCATGAAGCCTCGTGGACAGTGCGTACTGACTAACTTCCGGCTGTGTATAAACATACACGCGACATGATTACTTTTATTGCCAGGGTGTAAATTTTCGAAGATTACCGGTGTTTACCGAAAACGCGGACACCTAGAAGACTTTAGAGACAGGGGTCACTCCCCGCTTTCTTCTTGGCCCACGTCTACTGCGTTCATTTTTTTTTTTCAGTTTTGTCGGCTTCTCGATGGGGAATATCATCGTCCGAGCCGCCCTGATGAAGACGGAGCTCCAACCGTTGCACCGCTACCTCCACACGTTTCTGTCGCTGAGCGGGCCCCACATGGGAACCGTCTACAACACTTCCATGATCATCAATCTAGGTACGTATAAGTTATTTATCGTTGGCTTTTGGTGCTTAAATGGAAGACGCCGTAAAGCGTACGTCGATTATCATCTACTAGCTCGAATCAGTGAGAGAAATAGCAACAAAAGCTATTCACTTTTTGTTTGTTTTCTTGTTTGCTTTCAAATCTCCGATAGCTCGTACGACGTCACTATATACAAGGTTGATTTTGTCGCAGACACCGATAACGTTCGTGCTATTTTGAGAGCGAACGATTGTAATGCGCCTCTGAATGGACGAAAGAATGTACATTTTGTACAGTACACTTCCGAACGTTCGCTTGGATTTAGAGCGTCACTGCTTGCTTTTCCAGGCGATCCTTTCACAAGTTGTGGTCGTTGGAGCAGAATAGATACAATGAAAAAGATGATTGGAACTGGACTCCAACTGGACCGATTTACTAAACTGAATGCTCGTCGATGCACTGGGTGCCGCATGTCCGAATTGAGTGCTTACGCAGTACTTGTGTCCAACCTTTCCACTATTGTCCCCATGAATTAATCTCCCCCCCCCCCCCCCCCCATGACTCTGTTAACAGGGTAATATCTGTGACTACGTTTTTAAGTCTTGCGGAAGGGAGACTGAAAGAAAAGTTCTCTTCTATATTTGAAACTAAGACCGCGGCCAAGAAGCTTCTTGGTCAGTGGCGTTGCGTGAGATTAAACTTGGGTCACAAATGCCAATTTGCTTGTGTAAAGTGAAAAGGAAAATTAAACCCAATCATTACTGCGTGGTCTTTTTAGGCTGATCAGAAAAGTATCCTTTAGAAAGGGTAATTAAACACTCAGATGCTCGACATTGGCTCTTCTATTTACCACTTAGAAATCGTCTAATAATCTTTATACATTAAATTCTTGCCTCGTTTCTCCCTCCTTCTTACAGGCATGTGGTACCTTCGAAGGTATGACAACACAGATTCCATCAAGCAGATGGCCCTCAAGGACAGCGATAACATCCGAAACACTTTCCTGTACCGTCTCAGCCAGGACAGAGGTCAGTCATTTATTTCGAGTAACCCTTTTTTTTTTTCCGGGTGCTTTATAGCTTCGTGGTGTTTGCAAGGACTGACAAAATTCAAGAACGTGCTGCTCCTCGGGTCCGCTGAGGACTACATCGTGCCGCTGCACTCTGCCCATGTCAAGCTCACCAAAGCTATCGTGAAAGACAACACACCAATGGGTAAGTTACTTTGGCTGGAGAAGAGCATGGACTTCGTTCATCGATTACAAAGATACTGACAATCCAATTCAGTCCAGAAAAAAGAAGATTACCAATTATTCGATTATATTTGTAAAGCGTGGGCACCTTCAAAAGCGAGGAATCTGTGCTCAACCGGCCAACTTCAGCTTTTTACGCGAATTTTACATCAGTGCTTCCGTGGCTTCAGCTCCCTCGTTTTTAAACATGCGGAAGATACATAAAAAGGGGGGACGGACTATGAAGACTTCCAACTAGCAACAACATTTATTGACCCGAAGTTTGAATATATAGGTGAAGGAGGGGAGGGTGAAAGTCGCCAGACTGGAAAGGGGGAAAGGCGATGGGAGAGGGTGTAGAGGCAAGGGAGTGAAGGACGATCCCGTGAGGTTGACATCTAATCGCTTGGAGCCACAGAAACGAGGGACGTCAGCTCTGGCCCCAGGAAGTTTATCTCCCTCCTGGATAAGCCTATGGACGGGGACCCGAAGTTGCTGTGACTGTGGTGCATGGCGAAGGCCTCCATGATCTCTTGTCCGTATCTTGAGACGTGACCTCCAATCCTGGTGGTCGAGGGAAGGTCGGCCGAACAGGGTTCGCTGCACTCAGAGGTGTGTTTGGAAATCGGGTGCTGTAACCTTCCCTCGACCACCAGGATTGGAGGTCACGCCTCAAGATACGAACGAGAGATCATTAGGTATGGATGTATGTAATGTTTGCAATAATACTTAAAAAACAAGCGAGCTGGTGTTGATTCATGGTAATAAAACCCGAGACTCAGGAACACAGAAGGGGACGAACACAACACAACGTCTCAGTGTTTGCAATTTTAGGACGCTTATAGCTCATAGATAGAGTTATAATCATATATAGGCTATCGCAGAAAGTGGTTTAGGGCCCTGTAGTTGTTATGCCCTCTCCGAATGAATGACGAACGTCACAGGCGCAGCCTACCGGGAGATGAGTCGCAACATTCTCAAGCCTCTGCTCGAGAAGCAAGGGACGACAGTCATCCGCTACCTGGTGCACTTGCCGTTCAAGAGCTCCATCTTGTCTTCCAACATTCACACCGCTCCTCTGGACAACGAGATCCTGGTACAGAAGTTGGTGTTCATCGCATGTGTCAAGCATCTTATCTGAGATAAAGACGGACTGCGCACGTCGGTGTTCCGTGGCAAATCTATAGGGTGATTACTCTCGAACAGTAGCTAAGATTAAAAGTAATGGCTATCGTAGCAGCAAATAACTTTAATCGAGGTGATGTTTTAATCTCCACTTTACACGCTGCTTATGTGGTTTCGGTAACGCATGACCGTCTATAAAGGAGGATGGGAACGTAGGTAAATTCAAACTTAAAACCCTTTGAACTCCCGTTGTCTCGTAGCTGCTCGTTCGTTCCAGTTGTGTCCAGTTCCAGCAGATTATAGCTGTGACGGGTTCTAGAGTTCGTTCCAGTCAAAACTGGCTTAATGTTTTTTTTTTTTTTTTTTTTTTTGCGGTTGCCGAGGTTGGTTTTAGTTTAACTTATTTAGGCATGTATGTTGCCAGGGCTAGAGTGGTTCGAGGACTGCGGCCTCGCATTAATGCAGAAAATGTGGCCATAACGTGGTTTCGTACTTGCATCTCAATGATCTCATTCGCGCGCACTTTCGTGTGGTGGAGTAGCCAAAGGAAGCGACGCGCTCGCGTTAGTAGCTTTGTCCAGCGTTACTAGATCAAAGTCGGTTGACAAGCTTCCTAAAATGCCTCGCACCTTCTCGTGGAGCTCGCTATACATTATCAGCCTAAGGGAACTTATAATCAGCCCGCCGTATAGACAGACGGGGAGTTGGATGCACATTACCTACGGTGCAAAATGATTATATTGTGCTTTTACGGCAATAGCCGTTGTGGTTCTCCTCACAACTGGAAATGACGTCCGTTGTTGATGTTGCACAGTAGGCAGTCGTTGATGTTGTAGTTGGCGATGTGGAACGTCCGTCGTCGATGTTGCAAAATCCTCGAAAAAGATGGCCCGCCCCCGCGGGAAACGAACCATGGTTCCGCTCCATGAGAAGTGAAGGCGTTACCACCGAGGTACGCCGTAGCGTTAACCCGCTTGAAACTTGAGGCGGGTTCACATAAGGCCTTAGGTTCACAGATTTGCGTCGACCGCTTTGTGCTGCGTTGCGACGTGCAGCACAGCGCCTCCCCATTGGCTCGTCGTGCGTGTCGCCATAGCAACAGCTCGGTGCAAGCTGTCCTAACGAGGCGCAAGTGGTTGCAGGCGCACTCGAACGCAACTGTGTGAACAAACCTTTAGGGGGTTTGTGGCAGGCTTGTGCTCGTTACTTGAAAAAAATTAATGGATCAATTACAAATTACCGAGCCTCGAACGTAATGGTTTACCGTTACAAATTACTTTTGCTGAAAAGTAACGGATTACTTTACTCGTTACGTTACAAATTACTTACATGTTACTTTTTCCGTACACTTATCCAAAAAAACAATAGAAAAATTTTTGATATTTTTCAAACATGTTCTGCAACATTACTTTTAATTTCCCATATGCCCGTATCATGGTAGTCCTTGTAAAAAATAAAACATAGTATTTAAGAAAAAGAGTGTAGGTGCACTGCGTTCACCTGTTAGCTGACAAGGCACCGAAAGCTGCAACCCCACCCGCCATCCTAAAAGCTTACGGCCTCCGGAAATGATCCCTGGAATTGTGCAGAAAAGCTAGCGGTGCGCATGCTCACTAGCAGCGTCTACCTCCGCTGCGGGATTCGGAGCTAAAGAAGAGATCTACGACAGCTCCCTTTTGACTCCGGTGTTTTGCCTGTTATTAATAAGAAAAGAAAAATTTGGATGTAACGTTACAATGTATAGGCAATGCAGAATGCAGGTGTTCTAGCTTACCTTGATGTGTTCTTGTAGATTCGAGTTTGCTGTTCTAGCTGATAACAATGTGAGTTTTTTTGGCAAGCAAAGTATGCACTGAAACTCTAGGTTTCGATACAACTTAATGCCTTGAATTTTGAACATCTCATTAGGAGATGGCCATGGAGACGACGGACGCTCCATGACCGAAAACTCGACCAGTCAGAGAAAAAGTGACGGTTACGGGTTATCGATCGTTTATAGGTGCTCACTTTCACACCAGTACTCGTGGAGGCCAGTGGAGGGGAGGGCATAGAGAGCGAAAGAAGCAGTGGCCATCAGTCTCACAAAACAATAGAGGATCACACCTCTTTGGCACGTTCTCTCTCTCTCTCTGTCAGCACTCCTTAGATGTCCTGACCACCACCCCCTTTTACGTTGACAGTTGACTGTAAAGTGACGAGTGGACTCGACCACCATGCCCAGGCAAGTGAACCAAAAAAAGTATTGTCCTCGAAGACGATGCTCTCAGCCTCGCGCCGGGCGTTTTTCAGTCGTGCCTCGAGGGTGTACTAGAATCAAGGAGCGCACATCAAAGACAAAAAGAATTCGACCCCCCCCCCCCCGCCCGAGGCTACATCGCCTGTTACGCGAGTTATTAACCCGCGAATTGAGGGGGTACGGACCCGCGTTTGAAGTCTGTGCAGGTGGCGGGAGACGTCGAAGAAGTTGGAAGGGGTGAAACGGTGTAAAAGTCAAAAACAAATGAACACGAAGGACTTTTTCCCGCCCGGAAGAAGAATTAAAACACGATGGAAGCCGATGAAGAGCCTATTCGGCATTGTCTTACCTGATATTTGTCTTTCGTATGTTTGTACATGCCTTGCCCATTTTTCTAGCGGTTCTATAGTGGCCGGGTCATACAAAAAAAAAATCGTGTTTCTTTTCGGCTATTCTCCCCTTCCTGATGCTTTCTATTTTGTTGAACTTGCTTTTTTTACGCTGCTGAATGATCTGCTCGTATTGCTTCAGTTACTATATTATGCTCATATTTTTAAAAAGTAACGAGTAATTAAAGTAATCCGTTACCCATATTTTGTAACGATATCACGTTACAAATTACTTCTGAAGGAAAGTAACGCGGCAATTACAAAATTACTTGAAAAAGTAGCGGATTACAGGAAGTCCGTTACTTGTAGCAGATTACTTTCCAAGTCTGGTTTGTGGTACCCGGTGCCCACTGCACGCGCCCTCCGGAAAGAATAAATCGAGCAGCCTTGTGTTTATCCATGATGCGGTCAGATAACGGCCAGAGCGATAGCTGCGACACGCGTCACGGAGAAATCGTTGGGCATCGGCGTCGCGTTCACCCACCGTGAACAGAAGCGTTCCAAACAAATTAGACATCTGTTTTGTTCCGAACGCTTGTGTTTCTTCTTCTTTTTTTTTTTTATCCGGAGCACGTGAAAGCGCGTGAAAGCTGCTTTTAAGATTAACAATGTTTCTTTCTTTCTTTTTTTTTGAGCGCGCGCAGTTGGCAGTGGGTACTAGAAATCGCCTAAGTTCAGAGCGGGTTTTGCGGAGCGCAAGTTCGTCTGCTTCTTGCAGAGGGTTGCAGTGGGTTGATGGAATGCCATTTCATCGAAGCATGTTTTAGAGAATGGGCACGTTTTATCGAAGCACGGTTTAGAGAAAGCAGAGCCTCAGTTTAGAGAAACTCCGTTTATCGAAAAGGGGACGCTTTAAAAAAAAGGCTTTCCTACTTTTCGCGTGTATCACTGGTGCACATGCCCCCCGCTGCGCTCCCGCCGCTTCGCGGCGGCAGTCTGCGGCGGCTCATTACAAAAATGTTAACTCACCTGATCTACCCGTACACGCCGTTTCGCGGCGGCCGAATTCGTTAAAAGGAGGCTCATCGCCATTTTCTCTAAACTGGGTTCTCTATAAACGCATTCGATAAACCGGGGTCGGTAAAACGGCGTTCGCTAAAACGAGCTTCACTAAACCGCATGCCTCCGGGTTGCAGTGACTTCGGAACGCCGAGTTCTCATTGGCTTTGATTCGAAAGATAGTGGGTGGACCTCAATGCAAGCTTCGTTGAGGTCTACCCACTATCCTTCCAATCGGAGCCAATCAGGGTTCGATGTTCCGACATCGCCGGAACCCCTGCTCAAGAAGCAGACGAACTTTCGCTCCGCATTAACGCTGTGGCGTGGGGATTTGATGCTTCAAACGCGCACTAATATTGTCTGCGTGCAGGAAACAAAGCTTGAGACAGTGGAGCAGGGTGAAGTGACGTAAGAACTGTTCAGGGGCAATTTTCAGTTTTCTTAGCGCTATCTTGTTTTGCCGCGGATCTTTTATTAGGAAATGCCCTTATATACACGTTTGCAAGCACGACCTCAGGACGCCGCCACCTTGCTCAGTTGGGGTGAGCTTGGGAACGTCATAATCCGATTGCGACGCCTTGGTAAGGCGTCGCTATCGCATTATGGCCGCGCCTATAGCGCACTCCGACTGAGCGAAATGGCGGCGCCCTGAGACCGGACGTGCAAACGTGTGTAGGGAAGGATAACGCGGGAACAGTTGCCTTTGTGAACTCTATAATTGCTAATACGACGGCACGCATTGTCTGCCCGTACGCGCCTTGTGCGACGACTGACACAAAATATTTGTTTCGGTCTCTTAGCCCAGTCTTTTACACGTCCGCCAATTAATAGTTCTGTGCGGGGACTTCAACTGTGTTTGGTTTTAATGACAGAACTCCCAAACGAACGGCTGCCGACGCTAGCATAGAGGCAAGCGAACTCTGATTACAGAAAATAACCTGATCGACGTCACAGACACGGTGTCATCTGCAGGACGCTGCGGTATACGCACTGGCAAGGGCAGTCGTGTGCCCGCCTGTGTCGAATTTACGTGTCGGATGAGCTTGATATCGCGACTTCACGGTACACAGTGAGTCCTGTGACATTTTTTAATCTCGCGTTCGTAATGTATTCGTGGAGGGTGAAAAGGAAGACATTAGTTGATCCAAAAAGTGACATTCGGAAACTGAATAAGAACATTCGATACTGTGAGGATTTCGTTAAAGAATTAAAGGGTCTGCTGCAATCGGCGGAAGGAAACCCAAGCTTTGACGCGGCATGGGAGGCACTGAAAGATGAAGTGTGACAGAGAGCAGAAAGGCGTTGCAGAGGAAAAAGGGGAGTAAAGAGGTTACGGAGAGACAGCTTCTGACGAATCTTAGGACGCTCATCGAGGCTAATAAAGAGTGCCCT